TACCACCACACTAGAACCCTTGGGGTACTGAAATAATTAACTTGCTAATCAGCTACACCTTGCTTTCTCCTTTCTTCCCGGGGGTGGGGGGGAGGGACAATTGCAAATCGCCTTCCCATCAGGTTCTTATGTCAGTCACTTGGAGACAAATGATGCTTTTGAAGAAATACATCCTCTGCCGCCACATAGCCCAAAAACGGGTCAGAAGGAGTCAGGCCTCTTCATTCTCCCCATCCCTTCCCACCAGACCTCTAGGGGCACAAGGAGACAGAATGTTCCTAGGGATGCATGGTTTTTTCCATCCACAACACAGAGCTTTTCCATCTCCGCTAAGCTTTCTCGCTCTCGGCCCTCTTTAGCCTGCTTGCTGGCACTAAACATCCAAGATCTACGTGGAGAAAAGAGGATTGATTAGAATCGTAATAATAATCCCTGGCAACCATCCGGCTTTAGCGTTTACACAGTGTTTTCACACATTATCTTACTCGGTCAGAGGAGCTCGGAGCTGGAAGGGGCCTCAGCAATCATTTAACCCATTCTCCTTGTGTTACGGATGGGGAAACTGAGGCCCGGAGAGGTTAAATAGCCCCAAAGTTCAGGAACAGTGTAGCAAGGTCCCCCTGCATATTGTCTAGGGATCCTATGTTGCCTGAGATTTTCTAAAATGAGGGAAAAATGATGATAATTTTTTGCTTCATGGTAGACATCAAAAAATGAAGAGAGTAGGACATAGGATGAATGAAGTTTACTCCTATAAGAACTGGCGTGGGAGGTTGAACTGAGGGGAGTCATTAAGTCTAAGTCCTGAACAGGACACGTTAATTAACATCTCTGTCCCTATGTCCCCTTCACTTCCCCAGGTTTAAAAATATGAACCTTGTGTACTCTGGGACCTGAGGTTAATTTGGGGGCAGGTCAGGGTGGGGGATTTTTGTTAGATTCAAATCTGGCACCTACACTCAAGGGTTTGCAGCATAATGGGTTGGCCTGTGCATGTGTGTGTCCACGCACGACATTAGATTTAGCGGTGAAAAACAGTCATCTTGATCCTTTCACAGATCAGGGATTTGCAAATTAATAGCTCTTTCCCCTCAAGGCTCTGAGGAGGTTAAAAATGATTTCTAGAGAAGGAGAGGAACAGAGGGTAGAAAAATATAAAGCAGGGAAAGGGATAAAACAGACATGACACTGCCAAGAACATACTTCCCTGTGAAAGGGGTGTGTGAGTGTGTGTGGGGGGGGGCTGTAGGTCTCTGCATTTCCATGGGGCTGTCTGCCCCCATTGCCCAAGCCTGTTGGAAGGTAAGCGGTTCCTTTGTGTGTTCGTTTATTACTAAGCCCAACTCTTTTCCCTCTAAAACTCCTTCTTCTCCCTGTTGAGCTGACCATGCTTGTGGATTTATGAAGAGAGATGTTTTAGCAGAAATCCCCCAGAGTGTCCCATCAGCCCTAAATCCCAGCCCCGCTCACCCCCCCAAGACCCCATGACACACAGCATGCCAACACGGCTTCCTCTTGCCTATGCATTAGCCATCCATTGTGGCAACCTGACATCTCTCACACATAAAACCGTAAGAGAGAAATAAAATATCTGTCTCTTGGCGAAAATAAAGCTTTGCCTCCCTCCTGATGTATAGGATATAAAATAAAGCCACGGCTCCAATAGTGGCTTTTCCTTATGCCGGAGTTGCCTTTGCACACACGGAGACAATGAAGATGGATGGTTTGGGACGAGGCCCAGCCTCCTGGGGCCGCCTTCACCCTCTTTTATTATAGCCGCTCCCCCCACCTTGCCTTTTTCTTTCTTCTTCACTTTCTTTCCTTTCTGGTTTGGATTTGCCTTTTATATGCCCTTCTCTTTCTTTCCCCTGGAACTTTATTCCTCTTGTTCACTTTCTTCCTAAAGCATACCGGAGACCGCGAGAAGGGAGCCAAGTTCCTCACCTTCTCCAACGTGCCTGCCGCCTCTTCTGGCCTCCCCCTTCTCCCTACCCCAACTCTCTCTGGACCTCCAGGCTCTAGGACTAATTTTGCTGTTTCTTTTGGGGATTAGCCTTGGTCAAATGTACAAATGTGCCCATGGGATAGTGAAGAATGTGTTTAGTGGGGGCAGGGGTGGATTTTTTTCCTAGGAAGCTGCCTTTCCCCTCCACCCACCCTTTCCTCTCCCTGGGCTGGGTGGTTTACAGATCTCAGCAACTATTTATTTAGCCTCTGAAGAGGCCAACAGAGCAAAGCTACCACCTTGTAGGGGTGAGAGTTGACATTCACCTCCCACACCCGAGCCTCAAAGCTACATTACCAGATTGTGGCCTTGGGCCCCTTCCGCCATCTCAGCTATCAAGGGGCTCATCCAAAGGCAACAACCTCCCCGTCTGTCCCCCACAGTCCTGAGAACCGAGGGTATCGTGGGGTAGCCTGAGGGGTCCTCTCCACACTCACACGGGGAGACCAGAACTGTGCCCCGCTCGCTCACACAAGCACAGACATGTCCACCTTCTTGCTCTCTCCACGCTTGATGCCTTTCCCACGGGGCACAGTTTCCACACTTTCGCTCCGTTGTTCCTGGATGTGTCACTTTCGCCAGATGGAAACTGCTCCTCTCTGTACTTCCGTCTCCCAATCCGTGTCCCAGCCAGAGTGCATTTTTGTCCTGATGTCTCTCCCGGTGTTTGCCCTGAGACCATTCCTCTTCCTGCTGTCTTTCTGTCTGCACTGAGGGCTGTTTCCCAACCCATCCCAAACCTTCCATGCTCTATTGGGGAGTGTAAGAGGCATCCCAGCTTCCACAAGAGTAAGCAGTGACTCGAACAAGGGGTAGTTCAGGGACTGGGCGCCTAGGGCAGCAATGGGGGAGGAAGAACTGTGGTACTGCTGAAGCAGACGCCCAGCAGAGAGGCAGTGGGGGGCTTTCAGCCCCTCAGATTGAGCTGTCAAGTGGAGGCTAAAGCAGGGCTCAGTGTGTGTGTGGCCAGGTCAGCCTCATCTGAAGAGGCCTTTATTAATGCTGCCCCAACCTGGAAGGGCAAGGCAGCAACGTCTATTGAGCGCTACCCACCCCCCCAAAAAAAAGGAGGAACAAGAAAAAGGACTTAAAGCTGCCAAATCCAGAAGAATTCCATCTCAGTCCCAAAAGCTGTTAGCTTTGGGGTGATTCTCTGTCCTTCTCTCTCTCTTTTCTCACTTGATATCTCTGCAGATATCGGCAGTGACCACTGCCATTAGGTAAGGGGAGAGAGTCAATTAGTGAGAGGATTAATTACTCCCAGGCATGAGCCCCGTTTGTCTTCCTTACCGGGTGTGAGTGTGTGCTCAGACAGAGGAACATGGGCAAGCACCCAAATACACATTGTTGTCACGCTGTCTTAGACGTTTTATTTATTTGTTGGATTCCTGCCCAGAACTGCTCACACGCTTTTCCACGGGAGCTGAGTCTCCCACCAAACACGCTGCCTCCTCTTCTCCCGCGCCTGTCACACACGCATATACCCTTCGGTCCTGGCAGAAGCCCCCCCTGGGAGCCCCACAGTCCTCTTCTCACTGCCTTTTTTGTTGCTGGGTGTCTTCCTGGGTCTCTTTTCTGTTTGTTTGACTGCACTCCTCCATGTATTTCTCCGGACGCATCTTTACTCCCTTTAGACCTGTGTGCTTTTCCACATTTCTTCTTTTCTCAGATTTCCTATCCTTATTCTGTTTTTCCTTCTCTCCTCACTTCTGTCTCTTTTCCCCGGTGCACCCTCTCCCTTCAAGACTACTCACATCCTGTCCTTGCTCTTCGGCACTGTAGACCAAGCTCAGGGCACCACTTGCCCGTCCCCACCCCCAGGGTCCTTCCAGCCTTCCTGGGAAGCCAGTGTGCTTTACCCAGTCCTGCTGTGACACCTGGCCTGCTGCTGCCCTTTCTCAGCCTCAATTTCCCTCCACCATGACCAAGGCTCAGTTGGAAATTGTAGCCAGAGGCGAAGCATACATCCCACCAGAGCAGGGAGCCCCCCGACCCTGCAACTTCTCACCTTAATAGTGCGCTGATCTTAGGCAAGCCTCCTAACTTGGGTTTCCTGTCCAGGAAAGTGAAAATAATACCCATAAACTCCCCCACCTCCGACCCCCTTGTTATGCAGTTCAGCGGAGATAGTGATGTAATAGTAAAGTAGCGAATAGATCTTTTTGTGAGAGAGTGATGGGGTGAGATTAAGGCAGCCTGAGTCAGGAGAGAGAAAGGAAGGATGAAAGAGGTCAGGCATCAGAACCAAAAGACTCCAGCCTAACAGTTCTCTGCATTGCATAAGCCATGTCTTCATGGGTCTGTGCAGTTTGCAAGGCCTCCAGACGGGCAGGGTCCAGATGTGCACTGGTGTAGTTCCTTCCTTCCTCCCTCCAGATGATTTGGTAAATCCAGCTTCTATAGTTCCGCATAGGGCAACCACCTACCACCAGGGTATCCCCAAGGGTCTACTTTCATGGCCTCATAGTCCATTTCTGGGGGCAATGGCTGGACAAGAGCATGAATAGAAAAGAAGTGGCCATGGATGGCCACAGCTCCTGGGCTCAATATTAACCACAGAGGATAGGCAGGCTGGGTCCTTGTTCTGCTCATATTAGTCAGGAAGATCAGGGGAAGAAGTGGAGCTTGATCAAGGAGACCACTGGAGGAAAGGGGGTGCAAGAGAGGTGTCTTCCGTACCCACACAGGGTGCCTAAATAAAGCTGGCAGAGTACTGTACTCCATCTCCCTTCCCAGACAGGGTCTTTCTTCTCTGGCTGATTGTCAGGGAGCTTTTCAGAAGAGAAACCAGAACTGTGACAGCCACTTCCCAAGCTCACTGGAGCCTTTTCAAAGGATGTCACGGGAGTGGGGCTGAGGATTCTTCAGCCAGTGAGTAATAGCTGAGCCTCCAAACCGAAGCTCCCAGCACCGGTTCAGAATTCACACATCTTGGCCCATGAAAAGTGGCTGTGTCTGCTTGACTTTGAAGACCTAGGGTAGAAAAGGGCTTGTATACTCGAGGATCGGGACAACGAGTGACCAGGACAGTGTGGTGATATAGGTGGAGAGAGAAGGTTACTGCTCTTGCTTCAGGGGACTTTGGTTTAATGCAGAGCTGAAATGAAATAGTTTCAGGGGTGGTAAATTTAGAAAGCTGGGTCAGTTTTCTCTCCGTGTCACACCACTGGTTACATTTTAAAATAAAAGCTCAATGGAAATGGAGGGGGAGGTAAAAACATGAGTCTGTGTGCTGTTGAAGTGGAGGTTTTAAATCTGGACTTTAAACCTAGAATCGGGAGCCAAGGAACGAGCCTGGCCTTGCGCTCCTCCAACTCCTTGTAGACGCCAGGGTTGGCTTTGCGGACTTGTTTACTGCACCATCTGGACACCGGGACAAGCAGAGCCCTAAGCCCTACAGTCAGCGTCCGGTTCTTGCTCCAACTCCCTTAGCGCGCTAAACCCTCCCCGGGGAGGGGGTCTTCTTTCCCCCACATCTAGATCCTGCAGCCCTTGCGCCCACAAACGGATAGAACAACCTCATTCTGCTCACCGAAGGAAGGCGCGGGGCTCGGGCTTGCAGAGGGCCAGCAGCCAAGTCCAGCTGTCGCCCTGTAGGTCCCCGACAATCTCTGGCCAGCCCCCCTCTCCAAGCCCCTTTGCTTTGCATGAGAAGGAGCCCAGCTGGGGTGAGGGCAGGCGGGGCGGGGCAGCCACCTGGGACTCGGGCCGCTATAGATTCCAGAAAGCGGCGGTTGGGTGGAGGACTCTAGCTGCGAGCGCGCTGGGACAGCTGGGGGAGGCGGGCAGCGCCTGCTAGACCGGCCCTTCCTCCGGGTCTTCACCGAACTCGGCGGGCTAGGAGGCGCTCCGAGTCCGCCGTGTGGGAAACGAGGACCCGGCGCCACGCTGTTCTTAGCGCCTCCGAGGGTGCCAGTATACTGGGTCCCCGTCGGTCGGCTTGCTCCTGGAAGTGTCAGGTAGGCAGGGAGAGCGCGAAGCCAAGTCCGAGCCCGCAGAGCCCGCCTGCTAGGTAGGAAAACCGCATTCTCCATCGCCTGCGCTGCCTGGAGCTCAGGCCTGGGAAACGCCGGCGAAGGGAGACCCCTGCTCTGCCCTGGCCCGCAGCAGGGAGCCCGCACCCAGGTGTGTAGGTGCGACAAGGTGCGGTGACTGCATTAGGAGCCGGGCTCCCCGAGGTCCGGGCGGGGCGGAAGGCCAAGGAGGCGCGCGGGCGGCCTCGGCGGCTTCGGTTTCCAATGAAAAGGAGCGCTGGCGACGAGGCAGGCGCTGCCCGCTGGCCTCGGGGTTGCAGGGGCGTTGGCAGAGCTCCAAATCCCACCGAACGCGTGCCAAACTCGCTGCCGCGCCTTCCCAGTTCGTTCGAAGAGGGTAATCTATTTGAAGAGCCAGATTCCCCGCCAGCCCGGGTTCCTTGCAAGTGCGTTTTTGGCGCATTTTCCTTAACGAAGTCCCGACCCCCGCGTGAAAGGCTTCCCTTGCCTAGCGAAGAAGATTGAAGGACAGTTCCAAAACACCAGCTAACCCTGGCTGGCCGCTCTCCTTTAATTCCATCCGCACTAGAGGCGTTAAACCCTCCCAACACACACCCCGAATAAGAAATGGGGAGCAAGTATGGGACCCCCCAGCCCTGTCGCTTTCAAAGTCTAGATGGGAAAAATCTGGGTTAAGCCTCGAAAAGTGCTGTCAAAACGGAATAGGGGGGTTGACCTGAGGGTGCCAGGGAACCAGTGACTCTTGGATGTCGGGTTCTCAGGGCTCGGATCCGACCCCCACGTCTAGGTAAATCCGCCCCGGCGGGCGTGAGTTTACACCCGGAGGGACTTAGGATGTTTGTGTCACCTAAGGCGTGACCTCTGGAAGGTATGGTCGGCGGTTGTTTGGGGACAACCTAAAGCCTGGAGAAGGGAAGCCTGGAAGCTGGGATACACACTGCCAGGGCATTGCACACGTCCATCTAGTGCGGCCCCTCTGTGTCGCCACCGGGAACTTCCTCCTCCTGCTTCCCCCTTTGCCACTACCACCGCCACACCCAGCTGCCGGAGTCCCGCGGCTTTCCGCCTCGTCGTTTGTTTTTGTTTGTAAAAGGTGTCTCCGGATCACAATTTTCTCACAACTTCTCGCCAGGGTTGCAACGCCTCACCCGAGGCGCTTCCCCACCCTCTCCTTCCCCCACCTCGGCGCCGCGCCTCCGGCCTCCCCCTCCCCCACCAGGAAACAGCTGGAGTCAACTTTCCGAGCGCCGCGCCGCAGCGGGAGACCGACACCCAGATCTCCTAGACACCCGGACCCTGCGGACTTTGGATGCATTGGGGGAGGGTGCTCAGAGAGAGGGACGGGTGGAGGGAGATTCAGCCGCCAAGCGCTCCCTACCTCTCCAAGGACTGGCTCTGTGCTTGGGGCAAAACTTTCAGGCAAAGGAGCAAGAGAGAAATATGCCAACACCCACTGAACTGCAAAGCCAAACAGTGCACCAGCGCCTCCCGGGTTTCTGGACCCGGTTGCACCCCAACCTTAGACCTGCTTGATCTAGGATCGCCCTACTTTCCCGCAGAACTCTGGCCTCCGGAAGCGCCTATTCTGGCTCTCTTTCAGTCCTTCTCACCGAAACCGACGCCTTACCCGAGTAGGAGGGGGCCAGGCACCTCGCCGCTCGTCGCCCGCGCCGCGCGGGGCCGCGGGTGCCGCCGCCACTGATCCTCTAAACGCGGTCTCCCCGCACTCTCCCCGGCCGAGGGATGCAGAATGGTTTACAGAGGGACCGCGAGGCGCTGATTGGTCGCAGGCCGTCGTGACGTCGGCGGGCGCTGCATTAAGGCGAGGGGGCTTCCACAGCTCAGCCAACAGCCAGGAGCAGTGACCGAGCCGCTGGAGCTGGGGAGAGACGCGCGGGGCGGCGGACTGGGCCAGGAAGACCAGGAGCCGAGGGACGCGGGCCCAGAGAGAGCCAGCAAGGAGCTGCAGCCCGGGTGGCGAGAGCGGTGGTCCACGCCGAACTGTTCCAGACGCTGGCTTACTGTAGCTGCTGCGCCAGGACATTATTTTAAAGCTTTCCAAGCTGCCCCCTCCCCCCGACTCCTCTCGCTGCAAAAGGGAAAAAGAGAGAAAGAAGGAGACTAGAAAGGAAATCCAGATTTGCCACCACAACGAGAAAAGAGGGGGAAAAGGAAAAGGGAAGAAAGTCGAGCGCCTGTGGGGCTGGACGCAGGCAGCCGGATCGTGGGCCGAGCGATGCGGGGCTGTGCGTCCAGGCAACCGCGAGTTGTGACTGGAGCCACCATGCACGGCCAGGCGCGGTGAAGAGCCTCCCCCAAGGAGTCCAGGCGCAGGGAGGGCCGCCCCGAGGACACGGAGGCCGCCTGGCAGGCCACTGGCCGAGGTGACGGGGCTGGGGCGGTGGGGAGCGAGCGCGCGCGCCTGGCTGCGTCCGCCCGAAGTTGTCCCTCTTAGGTTCTCGATTGACACAAACACTTCTCCAAAAGGGGGGGAAAAACCTAAGCAATAACAGCAATTAACACCAAGATCTGCTCCAGCCTGTCCTCCCTCCCACTCCCCTCGGCCTGCCCCCGCCCCCTCCCCCAGGCCCAGCGCGGGCGCCCGGCGCGTCCCAACCCGCTGCACGCTGCGGGCAGTTTAGAATCCAAAGCTTCTCTACTCGTTTTCTTTTCTTTTCTTAAAAACAAAAAAGAGGGGGAAACCTCGGTGGTGGGCAGGCTGGTACGCACACACCCGCCTTCATACCCCGACAAAAGCAGATGCACTTTGACTTCTGACAGCTCTACCTCAAGCCGGAGAGAACTCAGCGGCGCATTCCGCGCCATCCGAGCTAGCGGTGTCTTCCTCTTCTTCTCCATCTCCGTTTTATTTATTTCCGTTCCCGCTGCCGTTCTCGGTGACCTTCATTCCTCCACGGCTCTGGGCAGAAGAGTCGCTTTCTTGCTCGCCTGAGGCTTCTTTCCCTCACCCAGGGAGCCGAGGTGGCGTTTCTTCGCCCCGTGGCCCTGGGACTCCCAGGCTGTGCCCTCCACTCCGTGCCGCGCCTCAGCCTTCTTTTCCCCCTTTTGATTTCCTGGTGCGGGTTTTGGCTTGCAAGGCCGAGGGTGTCTCCTCTTTTTGGAGGGGCTGGGGAGCTGGTGCCAGTCATCTTTGGGAGTCATTCCCTTGGCTCTACTTGCCCTTGTCTCTCCGGGCCTCACCCGACCAAACCAAAGACCATGGTGCACTGTGCCGGCTGCAAAAGGCCCATCCTGGACCGCTTCCTCTTGAACGTGCTGGACAGGGCCTGGCATGTCAAGTGCGTCCAGTGCTGTGAATGTAAATGCAACCTGACCGAGAAGTGCTTCTCCCGGGAAGGCAAGCTCTACTGTAAGAACGACTTCTTCAGGTGAGTACTTAACCTCCTGTGCGCTGCTGCTCCCTCCCCGAGGACCCTTCCCATCCGGCTTCAGATCAGAGGTCAGCGTGGCCCAGGCAGCAGTGTTAGGAGCCGCCTCTGGAAGAGAGGGCGGCCAAGTCCCTCGGGTGCCTGTCTCTTCACCAGCTGGTGCACTGGGAGCCTGGGGTAGCAGCCCTACTTCATCCTGAAAAGTATGGGTCCAGGGAAGAAAGGGTCTGTAGTCTGCCTTCATTTGGAAGCCCTTCAAAGCTTGGAAGAGATAAGATATGGGGGGGTGCCCTAACTCCAGTCTTCCCCAAGCAAGCTCCCCAGCACTGCATTCTCTAGGCCTCCAGAGTTACTTGCCCAGGAGGCTGAGCTTAGAAACCTGAGCTCACTCCTCAGAATTGCCTTTTGCAATGGTGTTGGCAAGAGCAAGGGAGCTTTTGGGTAGAGTCCCTGCCTCCTGCCCAGATATCGGTCTCGCTCTGGAGACCAATCTTGCACACCCACGAGCCTTCCTGAAATCTAAACTGACTTCTGAGCGACTAGACCTGGGCAAACTGCTGCACTAGAGCCTCTGAAGTGCCTTGAGTTTGTTTCTTTCTGCCGGACCTGCGGAGGTTGGCAGGCAGTTCAGCCACAGCCCAGTGCGGACCTGGGTTTCCAGGCGTGGGCTCCTCTTTGAAGCCCTCCCAGCGATGTCCCACCAGGGCTGCCACATCCTTGCTACACCTGGCTTTTTGGAGCCAGGAGACTTATCTCTACTCCCTTCCTCTGTTTGGCATTTTAATTATATTTTCTTAAACTCATTTGGCTACCTCATCCACACAAACAAGTCAACAGAGAACAGCTCAGATGCATTCCACCATTCAGGTTTGAAATCTCCCAGTTTACTCGGCTGACTTAGTCTCGGCTTTCTCTTGTTTTGTGGTGACAGATCAAATGGGGCGGGGGTGGGGAAGCGGTCCGAAGCCACCAGGAACGATTTGCCCACAGGCCCAGCCCAGCATTCCCCAATGCTACTCCACCATGCCTGGCTCGGCTTTGATGAGTATAGTGGAGCAAAGCGCTGTGCACACAGTTACTGTGGAGAGGCTGAGCCCTAGAGCCTCCACAGGGTTTCCCCTCCCAAGACTGGTCCCAAGCCACAGAGTGGTGAGCCATACCCGCTTCCAGCGGGCCCCTGAGGCCTGGCTTCTGCAAAGCTCGGCAGGGCGCCTAAAGCATGCCCAGCCGCTCTTCGGCTCCTGCTTGTGCCAATCTGCCGCTTTGGGCACGAATGAACGTGGCAGCAGCCCAGCTACGACTACCCAGTTTGGCCTTTTGCAGCGGTGCGGTGTTTGTTTACCCGCAGGCCAGCCTGACCTCGCTAACCCTTAGCCTGTGTGCTCATCCTTTTGTGGCGAAAGAGAGGCAACCGTAGGAAAGAAAAAGGCAGCGTTTTCGGAGCGATTACCTGATGCGCTAATTCAGTTTTGACTTCTCTAAATCTAACCGGAAAATAAGTGTGCCCTGTCTCCGATACCACTCTTCCTGCGGTCACCACCATGCCGCCTTTTTCAGCAATGCTTTTTTCCCTGGGATAACTTCAGAAGTGAGGCTGGGGTCCAGAGGCGGCTGGGGTCCAGAAACAGCTGGGGTCCAGCGGCAGCTTGAGCCCCTGGCGCTAACCATGTGCATTTCCTCTCTGTCTTTCCCTTGTGCTCTTTGCTCTCTCTCCCTGCCTTCTCACCTGCCTAATCGGTTTTTGCCTATTTTTTTTCCCACATTCTCATCTCTCATTTCCCTCCCTGCCCCTGCCTTCTTCCATTTACTTGTTTTCTCCCACTATCTTTCTTTGGTGTCTCCGCCTGTCCCTCGCCAACCTCCACCCCTTGCAGATGTTTCGGTACAAAATGCGCAGGCTGCGCGCAGGGCATCTCCCCTAGCGACCTGGTGCGGAGGGCGCGAAGCAAAGTGTTTCACCTGAACTGCTTTACCTGCATGATGTGTAACAAGCAGCTTTCCACCGGTGAGGAGCTCTACATCATAGATGAGAACAAGTTTGTCTGCAAAGAGGATTACCTAAGTAACAGCAGTGTCACCAAAGAGAACAGCCTCCACTCGGGTGAGGCCTTGATTCCCATCTGGCTAGGGGCGGGCATGTCCTTCGGGAGGAAGGCTGGCCTTGACCCCTGCTCACCTGTCCCTTCTTTCTCCCCAGCCACCACGGGCAGTGACCCCAGTCTATCTCCGGATTCCCAAGACCCATCGCAGGACGATGCCAAGGACTCAGAGAGTGCAAATGTGTCTGACAAGGAAGGGGGCAGCAATGAGAATGATGACCAGAACTTGGGCGCCAAGCGGCGGGGACCTCGAACCACCATCAAAGCCAAGCAGCTGGAGACATTAAAGGCTGCCTTTGCCGCTACACCGAAGCCCACACGACACATCCGTGAGCAGCTGGCACAGGAGACCGGCCTCAACATGCGAGTCATCCAGGTCAGAGCCCTGGCATGCCGGTCTGTCCCCCAGAGGACTATTCAGGACACCCAGTCCACACCTGAGACTCCCGGACTTGGGGGCAGGGAGTCTATAGAAGCTGGTGATGGCCGGGTGATAGTGGGGAAACACTTCCTGTTGCCTGGGGCTGCTGGAAATCCCTCTAGTAGTCCAACCTCAGGTGATAGTAGAGATTGAGGGGCAAGGGAAGAGCTGCATGGGGAGCTGGGTGTGAAGCTGGAGGCTATACCCAATAGCACAGAGAAAGTTACCCCTCTTTGTGCACACAGCCTGCCACTCTTACCCCACCCTTGCTAGGAAGGAGCAGAGAGGTCACTATGGGCGCCAGACTCAATCAGTTCCTTCAGCTTCTACACATGATCTCCCTCTAAGTTCCCAGCCCCAACTCTGTGGGTCTCTTGCCCAGTTACAGGAGCCCCAGATCAGAGACTTGCCATCCAAAGGTTGATGGGGTGTCCTGGATCAAAGGGGAGGTGGTGGAGTGGGCAGTCAGCTCTGCCTGGGTGCAGTCCCTGGATGGATGGGGAGGAGGGGCCATCTGGAGGCAGCTGGGCCTGTGCCTTGTGAGGAGGTGAGACTGCGCCCGGATTCAGGCTGCCCAATGGTAGGTGTCCTGATCAAGGTGCCTGGAGGCTCTGCCACGGTGTGGGTGGGAGGCTGAGTGTGGCTTTGTAAGTGTGCAATGGGACTTCAGGGGGGTTAGGGGTGTGAAATCTCTAGGAGCCTGTTCAAACTTGTGCACAGGAGTGTGGGGCTGTGTGTCAGGGTCACCACTGTCATTATGTCACTTTCTGTGAGAGGCTGTGGATAAGTGTTCGACTGTAGGAGATTGTATGTGGGTGTAAAAGCCACCCTTATGGATTTTGGTGCCAGCAAAACACCAAACTCAGAAACTGAGTTTCAGCAGGAGGCTTTCTGTGTCTGTCACTATCACGGGTTTGGGGAGTGGTCACTGCAAGGGAAGCTGTATTTGTGACACTGTTTTGAAGATGCTTAGTGTCTGTGTGTACAGCCCGGGGAAACTGTGACTGTGACAGTGTGGCTGCCTCACTTTGGACAAGATAGCTTGTCCGGGTTTCTCTTTCAAAGAAGGGAATTCTAGTTACTCTTGATTTAAGGTCTGCTCTGCCAGGTCCTATCCAGGGACCTCATCCCCACTTCCACGCGCCCCTCCCCAAGGCCCGGGTGGATGAATGAAGGGCTAGACTCCTCCACACACCCAGGCTGGGGAGCGGAGTCCCGGTGGCCTCACCCCGCTTTGGCCTGTGTGCTTCAGGTCTGGTTCCAGAACCGGCGCTCCAAGGAACGGAGGATGAAGCAGCTGAGCGCGCTGGGCGCTCGGCGCCACGCCTTCTTCCGCAGTCCTCGCCGGATGCGGCCACTCGTGGACCGCCTGGAGCCGGGCGAGCTTATCCCTAACGGCCCCTTCTCCTTCTACGGAGGTGGGTGCGCGGCACAGTGGCGAGACGCGCGGCCAGGCCGGGGGCTTCGCTGCAAGCGGGTGGCAAAGCGGGGAGCGCCCCTCGCTTTCTGTAGAGAAGTGTAGAGGCCGGGAGAGAAGGGCGAAGGCTGGGGCAGCGGTGAGACCACCAGGTTCCCGACCTTGGGTGAGGAGGGTGGGCAGGTAGGGAGCCACTGCTGCTTTGCACAAAGCCCGCTCCCTGCTCTCAGTGCCAAGGGGCGCCCCCAAACAGCTAGTTACTTGCATCGCCCCCTTCCCCTCAGCGCCTCTTTTGGGCGGGCCCTTCCAACCCTTGGGGTCCGGCCTGACTCTGAACCCCCGGCCTGACATCCTCCTCCCCGCCGATCCGCAGATTACCAGAGCGAGTACTACGGCCCCGGCGGCAACTACGACTTCTTCCCGCAAGGCCCGCCGTCCTCGCAGGCCCAGACGCCCGTGGACCTTCCCTTCGTGCCGTCGTCCGGGCCGTCCGGGACGCCCCTGGGCGGCCTGGAGCACCCGCTGCCGGGCCACCACCCGTCCAGCGAGGCGCAGCGGTTCACCGACATCCTGGCGCACCCCCCAGGGGACTCACCCAGCCCCGAGCCCAGCCTACCCGGGCCTCTGCACTCCATGTCGGCTGAGGTCTTTGGGCCCAACCCGCCCTTCTCGTCGCTGTCGGTAAACGGCGGGGCGAGCTACGGGAACCACCTGTCCCATCCCCCCGAAATGAACGAGGCGGCCGTGTGGTAGCGGGATCCTGCGCGGTCCGCGGAGCTCGTGGTTGTACAGAAATGAACTTTTATTTAAGAAAAAGAGAAAGAGAGAAAAAAACATAAAAAAGCAAGCCACCTGCCCCACTTCCTCCAGCCTCGGGGACCATTCGCGATCTGGGAAACCGGATGGGAAAGGGGGACACAAAGTAGAATCCAAAACCGCCTCGAGGTCGGACTGGGATCTAGGCACTGGCTGGCAAGGTGCAGAACTGGAGCTCCCGAAGGGAAATACAGAGCTCTCCCCACCTCCCACCTGGACCCGATCCGTGGACAGACTCTGCGGACAAGTGGCCGGCCCGGCGCTCGGCGGAAAGGCCTCGTGACAGCCGCGGGCGAGCACGGTGATCGGCATCGGAGTCGCCCGGAGCCGCGGGGAGGGAGGCGGTGAGGCGTCTGGCCGGCCCTGGAGGCGAGGCGGCCGGGGCGCTCCGGGCCAGCCAGGCGGGTTCTGGCTCTGAGAAACCCTTTTATTAGTGTTGTCTCAGAGGTCAGCTACAGCGACAACAAACTCATAGCTTCAGAAAACACCGACCTGCTGTGCATCAGGTGGGACTATATATTTTTTGTCTATCTGGGTTTTTGGTTTTTGTTTTTGCCAAAATTGCAAAATTCTAATTGTAAAGCCCTCAGTATCAACTCTTCTACCTTCACAAAGCTCTACACACACACACACACACACACACACACACACACACACACACACACACACGAATAACACAATCGATGGTCTCCAGTCAGACCTCTCAGTAAAATGACTTGAACATTAGCTGTACAAGAAAAGTATTCTACCTTCACACACAAAAGTTTAAAAAAAAAGACTATTGAACTAAAAACAGTCAACTGTTTACGTATAATGTTAAATTCAGGAGTTCAGTGTTTTACTAAGATATCCTGTTTTGAAACCTCTTGTTCAAAAACAAAATGTTTTGAGCAATCAACCAAAATTATTCCTTTTCTTTTCCTGTAGATGTTCTGACAGATTTGCAGGACTTGGGGCTCACTGTGCTAGTATGTAAAAAGGTGTTGTTTACACAAGGCAAAGAGAAAACATGATATTCAGACAGTTGCCAAATAGAATAATTATAGCACAAATACTGTAAAGGTGCCAGGCACCAGCAACCTGAGAAAGTGTTTTAAAAAAAGTGTTAAAGGTTTAAAACAAGACATCTTTGCTAATTTTTAGTCCTGTTGAACATTCATGGAATTGTTAATATGACTTATATAGACCCACACAGGTTTTATTTTTGTGTCTTTAAAATAAAAGTCCAAAATATTTAAATTTTATGGTCAAATATGCAGTCAGCAGCTGCTACTTTTTTCTTTATATATTAAATTTCTCATATGTCTTTTATTGTTCTAATAAACCTAAGCTTGTGTGACCTCCAGTGCATATTAGACCATTCACTGTATGAAAGAAAACATGTTGAATAAATTTGTGAGTTTTTAATAAAAATAGAAAATCTGATGTTTAGATAATTGGTGTGGTATTTGATGCTTTCAACAATTAGAGAGGAGTCCTAATGGGGTGCTGAATGGGGCCCTCAGAAACCCGGAGGAAGATAGCCAGAACCCCCTTTGCTAATACAGGCAAGCTTTTCTCTGTGGCTTCCTGCTGTCATTAAATACAGATTTGGATTCTGTGGATTTAACTGATACAGGTGAAGAGATACTTGCTGATAAGTTAATAGAGAATTTGAAATAGAAATCAAATCCATGGCTAAAAATGAGTAGTCCTGGTTTGTGATTAGGGATGAAATTCAAAGCATTCTCTCCCTGTCTTCCTGCACATGCAAAACCAGGCTTGTGAATGTCAGATACTTGTAAATATATAGTTAGAGGTGGTCCTTTTCAGTTTAAATTCATTTTCCGTAGATAAGCCTGCTTTCTAATTTGGTGGTTTGAAAGATAACATAAAATGAATGTACAGTAAGCTAGAAATGAAATACTTTAATCCCTTTCCTAGAACTGATATGAAATTGTTATTTTATAGTATTTGTTACATTTGAATGTAACGGAAGGAAAATTCTTTTTCCTGTCATGAGATACATATTAAGTTTCTCTGAAAGAAGAGCAAAAATAACTAATATAGAAATCAAATTTCAACTAGGAGTTGGCCAGCAGGTTCTGAAAACTAGTTCAATCCCTTCTAAGCTTTCATTAGAAATGGAAGGAATTTGAATATTTTATCCACTGTGAAATACTCATGTGTGGGTGTATGTGTGCTTTAATATCAAATGCTATTAGATTTTCAGATTTTCTTCTCCGTATCACCTAGATTTCAGTCTGGATTATTTATTTCCAATTTTGAGAAAAATCAAAAGTTTTGCATTACATGGTATGTAATTTCCAGTACTGTTTTCATATTTTGTTAAGATGCAGCTAAGTTTATCTTTCCTGTAGAGAAGGCTTTAAAATAAGCAGTATTTCACTGCCTCCCTCTGATGGTTTATCAAGTGGGGGGGTGGATATCAGGGAGGAATCTGGCAGTGTTCTTTCAGAAATAAAAATTTATGAAATACAAAGAAGACTTCTGAAACCCCTAGCTTCTGCATACAGCACATTTCCTTTAACTGCTTTATATGCAATCACTGGATTGTTTTGTCCTTTTAGCATTTATATACATTAAATCATAGCAAACTTATTCATTACAGCCGCCACTCCCTGCCCCCTCCTCCTTAAAGACATTCATTTAACTGAACTTATGCTCATTGGGAAGCTGCATTTTCCTATCAAACGCTGCTGAATTATTTAGCAGCTTTCTTGTGGCACCGGGGTATTTGATAAGAAGCGTTTTAGAGTTGAACGAGCGGTGTGGATTCAATTCGAACTCCGTGGCAGCGGTACAATCTTTCCCTTCGGCGCGATGTCACGAGATCCGGCTAATACCCGAACAGGTGGTCATGCTCAGCGGTCTAAATTGGAGCCGAAGGCGCGGGGTGAAGAGGTCTAGAAGGGGCAGGAGCGGATTCCCTTCTCATCCATGCCGCGTGGTCCACCTCCGGCCACAGGAGCAGGCGAGCGCGAAACCAGCCGCACGCGGCTCCGTGGAGGGACGCGCGGGCGGGAGGAGCGCGCTACCAAGGCGCCCTGTCGCCCGGGAGGGCGGCCTCCTCTCCTGCCCGGCCTGCAGCTTGGTTTCTCCCTGGCCATCTTACAGCCGCCACCTCTGTGCCTGCTGCCACCTGTCCTCGGGGTTCCAGTAGCGGAACGGCCATCTGCGAAGGCGAGGGTGCATTCAGCCAAGCACTCCCAGCGGGCCAAGGCTGGGGTGCTGTTTTGGTGGAATGTGCACCGAGAGCAAGGAGAGGCACTGTCAGGGGCTGGAACTTGGGGTTTGATGGGCTTTAGAAGAGAGTCAGATTGGAACCCCAATTCCCACAACTCTTGAAACTTGTGGACAAATGAATAGAACAGACAGTTGTTTCAGACAAAGGGGGGGTGTGTGTCTCTGCTATGCCTACTTCTGCCTGCCACTCCGTAACTCTTAACAGACAGCGGGACTGTGCACAGGGAGACCCTCCTGCCTTGCCTCCAGAGGACAGAGAGATGGTTCTTTGGGAAGACTGTTCACCTTTATTCTCACCTCTCCGCTCATCTCATCTGCTCTCATTTGCAAAGCATTCAGTAGTTGAAATTTCTTCTAGGGAGGTATAGTCTGAAATAGTCCTTCTCATAGTCCATTCGCCACTTGCAATCCCACCCCTTCCCAAAAGCAGGCGTCTCCCCTGGAGAATCTAGAATGAAATTAGGGAGGAGTGAAAGAGAGGGTGAGAGGCCACATTTCAGAGGTTTCTCCCCGGTCGTGTGCCTCAGCTGCTCTCAAATCTTCAGTCCTAGAATTCCTTCTCCTTTCCTTCTGTCCGGGAATCATCGTCTGACTCTCAGTATGGAGTAACAAAGCACAGGAAGCATTTTGGGGCCCCTGGGATGTATGTGACCTTAGGGGGCTTTTGATTCCTTCCTGAAAAGGCTGCCCAAATCACTAGAGCCCAGGGCAGATAAGGGAAAGCAGGTAAACAGGTCTATGGCATTTTCTGCTGAGTGTTTGCCCAGTGTGACCCCAAATGGTCCAACAGCATCCAGTTTGCATGACAGAGCAGACGTGGTCCCAGCCCTGCGTAGACCCTTTTTCTCCTTACCTTGAAGGCCAGATTTCTAGGCATTATTATTGCCCAAAATAGCAATGGAAGAGGACTGGAACAGGTAATTTCCTAACTGTGAGGCAGAAAAAGAGTTTTGGTCTTTGAAGCCCTGTAAAGGAATGAGGAACCCAGATGCAGGCACAAGACCGCAATTATAATGGATGTATTTAAAAACAAAAACAAAACCCAGTTCTCATTCTCTTAAGGATGGTAAAATGAGTCTTTTTTTGCCTGAGTTCCCTGCCTGACTGGCATTCCTTCCCATCCATATCTGAGGAGATTGACCCGAAGACAGGGTCTTCTTCCACTCTGCAGCCGTGGTTGTCTTCATTCAAGAGCCACTTAAGACAGTGGCATGGGATAGGTCATACTAAAGTAGTGACCTTTCATTACTTGACTGTGAGGGCATATGAAGACTGTGAAAGTCAGGCACCATCTCTTCCTTGGGGTTTCACAGCAGACACTGGGGAATTAAGAGTTGCCAATCTCGTTTAGCTCTGGGATCCAAGTGGCCTGAATTGTACTAAAAAAGGGACACTGTCACAGTGGATCACCAATGCCTTTTTTTCTGGATCTTTTGCAGGCAATTTTTCTGTTTAGCAGGTTCCAGGACTCTACAGATGACCTCCGACAACAGATACTGGAAGGATAGACCACTTTGCATTCAGACTTATCATTCCTTATTGCAGTTTATATTTACATGCTTGTCTGCCCTCCTAGGTTGATCACTGTGGGAAAAGACTCTAACTTACTCATCTTGTATCTCATCTAGCAGTTCCTGCCACACAGTGGGCAGTCAAGGAATGCTCAACCAAGGAACGAAAATGCAAAGGGACTGCATTTTTCCCTGTGCCTGGGTGAAATTAAATTTTTATTACGTCTTTATATGCTACCCTCCTAACGGTAGACCTGAGTTTTTCTGCCTTTGTACATCAATTTCAGGTGTCCGAGTTCGCCCACATCTCTCAGCAGGGAAGATTACACAGAGGAGTGTGCAGTAACCTCATTCCACCCCCTTTTTGGAGCAGTCACAAAAACGGTCTTTATTTGTGCACAGACATAGCGATTTTTAATTATTCCTATTAATGAAGACAACAGCAAGCAGTTCGCTGCAAGCTTACATGTGCACATCTCTAACGTAGGATTTCCAAATTCTAGTTGCTTTGGGGCTGGAGGCATGAGCCCGGCCCCAGACTTCTCCAAATTGTGAAAAGCCTGATCTGTTTTCGGTCCCAGTCTTCGCAAGCCCGAGTGTGAAACAGAGGTTTCAAAAGCTTACTCTTTACTCCCTCTTCCTTTCCAAATCAGCCACCTTGGACCCCGGCTACGCTACGCTTTATTCCTAAGCGAACCTCTCACAAAGCCTGAGGCATTTTTGTGCAGGGGTACACTGGCTGCGCGCAACGCAATCAATGCTCAGAGCCAGAGGCGGTCACGTGCTCTTGCGCGCTCCCGCGCCTTCAAACACACCATCTCCCCGCACGCGCACGCGCGTTCGAACAGCCACAATCCCTTTAGCTTTCCGCGCGCTTCCGCCTTCACCCTAGCAACGCGCGTAGTGACGCACAGGCTCCGCCCCTTTCCCCCCTCCCGCGCGAGCGCGCGCCTCCCGGAAGTTGCCGGTAGGGAGCGGAGCGCCGGGCTCTGCGCGTTCCCTGGCTGTGCTTCGGTGCAGCGTCGGGCTAGGAGCGGCGGCCGGGAGAGAGCGTCTGGGCCGGGATCGGGCCGCACGTTGACGTGCCCAGTTCGGACCAGGACTGGGAAGATGGCGGGGCCGCAGTCTCTGGCTCTGCAGCTGGAACAGCTGTTGAACCCGCGACCGCGCGAGGCGGATCCTGAGGCCGACCCAGAGGAGGGTGAGGCCTGACTGGGGTAGACCACGTGCGGAGCCGTGGGCCTGGCTTCGTGGGGGCTGGGGGCGGCGTGGAAGGGGCGGCAGCGGTGCCTCGCGGTCTGGCCTTCTCCCCTCCTGGCGCAGAGGAAATTGCTTTCCGCCAGGGTTGTCCCGAGGCTCGGGAAGGGCTTCGCCTTCTCACACGCACTCTAGACTGGGAACTCCGGTGGTGGCGGTGGGGCACTTATTCGGAGCATCTGGCCGGGAGCTGGTTAAGTTGGTCGAGGGCAACTGGAGGGAGCCAGAGAGTGGCAGCAGGTTGGAAGTTACCTTTCAGGCTGCTCTCATTGGTACTGCTTTAGAAAGAGGGCGAAGGAAGTGTCATCATTTTTAAAAGTCTGGTAGCACCCAAAACTTGCTTGGAGAATGAAAGAAAAAGTAGGAGTCCCTGGCACTGGTTTAACCTTTTTAGGTCCAAGACACTTGCTCAGGGGCTGACAACAAGCCACTGCTCTTGCTGTGTGAGCTGACGTTCAAGTTCTAGCTGGGAGTAATCCTACTTTAGACTTTGAGTCCGAGACGTGTGTGGAAGGGATAATAATGTGCGTGCTGAACAGCGGCTTAGAAATATCAGTTGGAGGAACTGGGGGCTGTTTAGCCAGGATAAGGAAGAAAACTCTCTGAGGGCCGGGACAGAGTGAAGATAGAACTTGATGGCTGATTTAAGACATAGGAACGAGGGGCTGGGGATTTAGCTCAGCGGCACGGCGCTGGCTTGGCAAGCGCGAGGTCGTGAGTTCGATTCCCGGTACTGGAAAAACAACAACAACAACAAAAAATAAGATATAGGAGCGACTTGTCACATATGGAAGAGGAACTAGATTCATTTTGTAGGATCTAAGGCATAGAAATACATCTGCTACTACGTGCAAGGAGTCAGCTCTCTGTTGAGAAACAGCAGTAAGACAGTGGTCTATCCGGAGAGGAAGTGCGTTTCCTGTTTTTGGAAGTTGATGAGGACTTTGCAGAGGACATTAAGTATGAGTTGAAAGTGTTTAACATGGTTAAAGTTTCTTCTAACTTGAGATTGTGATTGCTTTTCCTCCTCCTCCACAGCTACAGCTGCCAGAGTGATTGACAGGTTTGATGAAGGGGAAGATGGGGAAGGTGATTTCCTGGCAGTGGGTAACATTAGAAAACTGGCATCTGCTTCCCTCTTGGACACGGACAAAAGGTATTCTGGCAAGGCCACCTCTAGAAAAGCTTGGAAGAAAGACCACTGGGAGCAGACTTCGCCAGGTTTATCTGGTGAGTAGATGTATTTGCGTGGAACTTTTCTTCCCTAAGATTTTAGGGTTAAAATTCTTTTTATATGGATGTTTATGTGTCTCTACTTATTATCTTAGGAGAGACCATTGATTTGGTATTAGGAAAGGCCTTAGAAGTTACATCGTTTCACTTCATAAGGAACCTCAAGCCTAGAGGATCAAGCTTCGGTGTTATATATAATCAGCCTAAGGATTCTTCTTAAAATGGAGTGCAGGAAAAGGCATTGGATATTGGAGAGGGTTATGTGTTTAAAAAAAACTTGTCTAATGAGCATCCTCCTCTTGGATTTTGACTCATTTCCTTTGGTTTTTCAGTTCTTACACTGACTCACTGTACAGTATTAGTTATTTGGGAAACTCACCTTTTGCCACTGTAAAAATAACATAATGCTTCCCTCACAACTGCAAGACAGGAGAATGTGAATTTACAGTTTTAAAGAACACTGTGTTTTCTCAACTGAATGTGGTGGTGCATGACTGTGACGCCAGTACTCTGGAGGCTGAGGCAGAAAGATCATGAGTTCAAGGCCACCCTGAGCAATGTAGTGAGACCCTATCTTAAAAATAAAAACAACAACAAAAAGAATTGTACCTTTCGCAAGGTTCAGGAAGGGGTTGGATATGGAGATTAGGATGCCATTTGGTTTTTTTTAGGGAGGGCAGGAGTGCCATGTTGAGAATCCATAGACAATATAGAAGAAACAGTCATTCAGGTTATAATATCTGTGACTTAGTCCTTGATGCAGTTCTGCGAGCTCCAGATAAACACATTTCATATTCTTTGTCTAGAGCCTGATAAAGAGACCAGTCATGAGATGAGTATGATAGTATTTATTGAACTCTTAGCTCCTGTCAACCACTGGGGTTAGTTCTTTTTTTTTTTTTTTTTTTTGGTTTTTCTCCGGTACCGGGAACCGAACTCACGACCTTGCGCTCGCCAGGCAGGCGCTTTGCGACTGAGCTAAATCCCCAGCCCCTAGGGTTAGTTCTTTGAGTTCTGAAAGTCTGGGATACAGTAAGTTCTCAAAAAATATTATCACTGTTACCACGATGTGTATCATTTCATTTAATCTTCCCAGTAGCCCAAGAAATTGGTATTTTTTTACCCCCATTTTGCAGATAAGGAAAGTGGGGGGCTAATTGATAAGTAACTTGCTCAAGGTCATACAACTGTTAAGTGGAAGAGCTGGGATTCAAGTGAAGGCAGTGTGACTCCAAGAAGTACTGTGCTGTATGAGTTTTTAAAAAATATATATTAGTACATATTTGCGGTATATAATGATTGCATTCATCATAGGGAATTACACATGTACATAACCCATCTTAATTCTTTTTATTTTTTGCCTTTTTGAGACAGGGTCTGGATATGCAGTTCAGGCTGGCCTTGAGCTCACTTTGTAGCCCAGGCTGGTCTTGAACGCACTACAATTCTCCTGCCCAGGTCTCCTGAGTGTTGGGATTACAGGCGTGTGCCACCAGGCCTGGCTCACATCTTGATTCTTTTATATCCCCTTTCCTCTCTGTCTCCCATAAATGTTTCTTAGTTTGAGAAATGGCATGTATACGTTTAAAGAATTGTTTATGGTTTTTTTGCAGTTTTCCTATTTATATTTTTGACAGCCTTGGCTGTGTCTTATTTATGTATATTTCTTTAAAGAACCAGAGACCCATTGTGTTTTCACAAACTCTCTATTTTATTGAAGAAGGTTGTTGGTAACTGGTCCTTATAGCTAATAATCATGCTTGTTATAATGGAGATATTATGCTTTACCGTGGAAGATATTGTGTAACCATAAAAAGCTTCTTCAGTGTCAAGTGGTACCATAAGCATAGGTAAACCAGGAACCTTAGGTAGTACTCTGTCTGTGATAGGATCAAGTTTAGGAAGACAGGGTTTGCCTGATTACCTGACAACTCTGTGAGGTCATCTCCCACCAGCTCCTGTGCATTCTGTGTGTCAGAACTGTTTAGTTCTTTTCCTCCCTCTTCTCTGTCTGATGACCTATTCCTATGCTTTGTAAGTAAAATCATAGTGTCTCCTTAACATGAAGCCTCCCTCACCTCTCCGGGAGAGTTAGGTGGTTACTTCCTTATATACTGTGTACTGATGACATTGTAATACAATTACTGGTATGCATATCTTCTGTTCCTATTGGACCATGAACTCTTCCACAAGTGTAGAATTTTTTTTTTTAGCCTTGATGTCCGCCTTATAATGGATACTTAATAAAAAGCGGGAATACATTGGTATGACAGAGATTGTACATTTGGGGTAGTTAATGAGAAATTATATTTTGGCTATATAGTACTTACTTTGAAATCTTACTGTATTCTTCTGTTGTTGAGACAGAATCTCACTGAATTGCCCAGGCTGACAGTGAACTTGTAATCATCCTACCTCAGCCTGTCAACTAGCTGGGATTACAACGTGTATCACTCTGTCCAGCACCATATAATCTTCCTTTCTTTATTTTTACTTATTTTAATTTAATTTTATCTTTTGGTCCTGGGAATTGAACTCAGGACCTTGCACTTGCCAGGCAGGCGCTGTGCTGTTGAGCTATATCCCCAGTCTTCTTTCTTTCTTTCTTTTTTTTCTTTTTGCAATTTTAGTTACTTTAGTATATGTGTGTAGTACATAGTTTATAATCTCTCTTAAATTCATTTGCCTGACAGTTAAAATTTGACCTTCCCATGGGTTACTGAAATTTTAGCAGAGCATTTTTTATTTTATTATCTATTTATTTATCTCTTTAATGTAGTGCTGGGAATTGAACTTAGGACTTCAATGTGTGATAAGTAAACACTTTACTATTGAGCTATATTCTAAACTTTTTATTTACTTATTTATGTATTTTTAATTTTTGAGACAGTGTCTCACTAAGTTGCCCAGTTATGCTCTTGTCTTGGCTTCCTAAGTGTCTGGGATTAGAGGCATGCTACTATATTGAAAAAGTTGGGGGTTTTTGTTTTTTTGGCAGTAGTAGTGTTTGAACCTAGTGCCTTTGTACTGAGTTACACACCTAGCCTGTTGATTTTTTTATTTTTGAGAGTGGATCTTGCTAAGTTGCCCAGGGCTCAAACTTGTCTTGCATCAGCCTCTTAGAGCGCTGGGATTACAAGGGCTCTAGTAAAGCACTTTTCATTCTTCTCTTTATTTTGATCATTTTTGCTTCCCTCTTAGCATTTTAGAAATAGTAGATGGATAATTAATATTTATTAAGTTGAGCTAAATACAGTAATAAAATTTCTCCGCTGATAGATGCTATAATTCTTTTTTTTTGGTTTCTTTCCGGTACCGGGAATTGAACTCACAACCTTGCGCTTGCCAGGCAGGCGCTGTGCTGCTGAGCTAAATTCCCAGCTCCAGTGCTAGAATTCTTTTTTTTTTTTTGGTTTTTCTCCGGTACCGGGAACCGAACTCACGACCTTGCGCTTGCCAGGCAGGTGCTTTGCCTCTGAGCTAAATCCCCAGCCCCCAATGCTAGAATTCTTTAACTGAAATGATAGATATGAGATACGGTCTTGTATTTTAACCCAGGTAACACCTGTTTTTTCTTTCTTTCCTCCTGGTTCAGACCAGGAAATATCTGATGAGGAGAGTTCTGGAGATGGAGATTCAGAGGCCCGGGGTCTAGAGGAATCTGATGAGGATGACCTGAGTGTTGCTGAGGAACAGGATGCTGACGATCACGAAGGGAGCAGCCCAGCCGGGAAGAAGGGCAGAAGCCACTCTGCAAAAGCACCAGGCTTTAGTTTCCAGAGCATCAGTGACTTTGAAAAATTTACTGAGGGAATGGATAAGCTCGGGAGCAGTGAGGAGGAAGAAGAGGAAGAGAGTGGCATGGAAGACGGGGACGTCGAGGAAGACTTGGAGGGCGAGACTGAGCGGGACAGGGCCGGAGAGAGGCAGAGTGAAGAGGACGGTGTGGTGCTGACCTTCTCCAGTGCCAAGGTTTCTGAGGAAGTGGAGAAGGGAAGAGCTGTGAAGAACCAGATAGGTTTGTATGTGGTTTTGCTGGTCACTTGTTTTTCAAAGTCTCTACATTTGGTCTACTTTTTTGTTTGTTTGTTTTTGGCTGTTCTGTCTCTCGGATGTCCTTCCAATTAGTTTGTGACACGCCTCACTTACTCAGAGGCCTAAAGCCCTATTCCTCTTTGCTTAGCCAGCCGTTTCTGCACTGAGCTGCTTAGCTGGTTCTGCTCTAGTACTTTAGCAACTGTGGAAGATTGAAGAGGAGAATGTTTTCTCTTTTCCTTGGGCTTTAGCATTCCCTCTCTTCTAACAAATATTTGCTTCCAAGATACTGAATGTATTTCCCAGAATAGAGAGTGTTTCCATAGCCTGAAATTGATAAAGCTGTGCTGCATAGGGACCAGGCTGGTTTCCTGTCCCTGCCCTGTCTCCATCCCAGGAAGATTTTATTCTAACTCATGGGTCAGATTCCGTTTTTTTTTCTTTTTTTAGCACTGTGGGACCAGCTCTTGGAAGGAAGGATCAAACTACAAAAAGCTCTGTTGACCACCAATCAGCTGCCCCAACCAGATGTTTTCCCTGTTTTCAAGGACAAAGGTGGCCCAGAATTTGTCAGTGCCCTGAAAAACAGTAAGGATGCTATGCTATTTTGGATACTTAGAACCACTGAGGTACATTGGTATATATTGGGATTGATATAAAAGAAGGGAAGGTTTGATTTTAGTGATATTACCATAGTGTTTTTAACTTTTAAAAATAGCAGTGTAGTCCTTTTATCAAATGAAGATAACTTTGATTGAAATGAGCTGGGTGTTGGAACCATGTCTGCTCTGCTTTCTTTTCTGCTGTTCTCATTTCTTGGCCTCTCTGTGACTTTCTGAGTAACTTCTGTAAGGCTTAGGCTTAGGGACATTGTGTGATGGCTCACTGGTATAGGGCCAAAGGGAAAAGATGAGTGATTAAACTCAGTTCATTTAAGTTAGTTGCATCGTGCATGTAAAAGATGCTGTCTTTTGGAAGGTTTTTAGAACAACGTGCTGAGATGATTTTATATATGTCTTCCTTGGGGTGGCACAGAGTAGGAGAGATGATGACTGCAGGGGAGGAATTAATTTTGGAGAAAAATTGCTAAGCTATAAAGTAAAAAAAATTCTAGAAAGAAAAATAATTTAGAGATTATTTGGTTCCCAATTCCCTCATTTACAGATGAGAGAACTGAGGCCTAAGAAAATGACTTGCCCAGAGTTACAGAGGTTGTTCTTGAGCAGCAGAAGTAAAACTCCAGCTTTTCTGCCTTATGGCTAGGAGTCTTCCTTTGGCACCACACTGCCTCCTGTGTGCCCAATGGCACAGAAGGACTGGGGCACAGGGAACATCTGGGGTGAGTGTGCTGTGGTTTGAATCACTTCTTACATGCATGCCGAGAGTTAGTGTCTCTATTTGCTCTTTTGTTGTTGTTTGGTGGTTGTCACACTAGAGATTGAACCCAGGGCTGCTCTACCACTGAGCTACTTCCCCAGGCCTTCCATTTGCTGTTTAAAACTTAAAGCTGGGCCAGGCGTGATGGCACATATCTCTAATCCCAGCTATTAGGGAGGCTGAGGCAAAAGACAGTTTGAGGCCAGTCTGGGCAATTTGGTGAGACCTGGTCTCAAATAAAAAAATAAAAAGAGGTGGGGCTGTAGCTTAGTACTCCCTCATTCAATCTCTAGTACCACAAACAAAAAGCTAAAGCCAGGTGGGCTAGCATGTGCCTGTAGTCCCAGCTACCCAGGAGACTGAAGTAGGAGGATCCCTTAAGCCCAGGATTTTGAGGCCACCTAGGAAATAGCAAGACCCCATCCAAAAAAAATTTAAAAAGGCTGACAGTGTTAAGAGTCGGAAGGAACTTGAGGAGGACATCTATGTTGGCATAAGAGAAACCACCTTAAACCATTCGAGATACATGTATAAGATTTCCAGGATAGGGAATTCTGTGAATATTTCTTATAAAGGACAATCTGGTTTAATTAGGAATGGCTTTCTGAACTTGAAGTCTGTCTTCTATGTGAAAACAGTGGATAGTTCTTTCAGGAACCATCCTAGATCTATTATGAGGTGGGTCTTTCATATCCTCTCCTTTAACTTTCCCTCCTTCCTCCATAGATGAGAGATTGATGGTTTTACCTTTTTTTTTTTTTGGAACACTTCTCTGCTATTTTTAATGCCCTAGTACCCTAATTTCTGGAATGCCTTTGAATGAGACCTAAACTGCAATAGGTTAAATGTCTTCAATGTTTTATAGTAAGACCTTTTCCATTTTGTTGCTCTTCTTGAATCTTCTCCTTTTTAAAAAATTCATCTTTAAAACATAGATATTTTAAGGGTTAGCCTCATGTATAATGGACACATTATTATTTCTAAATATCATTTAGCTTCTTTAGCCATTTTATTGTTGTTTAACTCCCCCGCCCCACCGGTACCGGGAATCGAACTCATGACCTTGTGCTTGCCAGGAAGGCGCTGTGCTGCTGAGCTAAATCCCTAGCCCCTGTTGTTTAACTTGTTTTACACTGGTTCTGATTTTTTTAAATCTTTTTTTTTTTTTTTTTTTTCTGCTTCACCATTTGCCCCGTCTCACTTGGTGAACTTCATTTAACCTGACAGATGTCTATTAATCTGACAGAGGGGTTGTGGAGGAGGGAGAATAAAAGAAGAAATGTTCGTTTGGTGTAACATACTCTAAGAGGATAGGGAGCTTTCTGATAACCAGAATTTCTGTGCATCTGAAGGGTAGCTAACCTTTGTATCAACCTTGTTTTGGCAATATGGCATAACATGTTACATACGTCCGTTTTGCTAAGCAAAGTTGAAGAATAATTGGCTATTTTATTCTGGGTGACCAGTTCGTACTGTGCTGTATAGCTATTGTGGAAGATAGCCTGAATTTATGCCTACCCTAGAACAAACACTGGAACGTACTGTCTTTAATTAAATCTCTTTTCAGTTTGCTCAGTTTTCTGGGTAAAGTCAGACTGCCTGGGTTTAGATTTCATCTCAGCAATGGATTAGCTGTGTGACCTTTTGCAAGTTACTTTGCAGTAAAATGGGGATAATATGGTTGTTAGGATTAAACGACATAATCAATATAAAGCGTTAGCACAGTGTCTGGCACATTTCACACCCTAAGTGGTAAGTACTAGTATTAGCTTTTTCTGCTCAGAAGCATTTGGCAGTATTCAGCCACATGATTGTCATAGCATAACTAACCATCTTCTCCACTGCTTTATGATCTAGGAGACTTCTTTTCTCCTGTTCTCATTCAGTGATTTTTAAACTTTTTTTCAGAACTCAGATTCTTTCTTTTTTTCTTTCTTTCTTTCTTTCTTTCTTTCTTTCTTTCTTTCTTTCTTTCTTTAGCGGCACCAGGGATCGAGCTCAGGACCTTGCGCTTGTCAGGCAGATGTTTGTGCCACTGAGCTATATTCCCAGCCTCTCAGATTCTTTATATGATTTAAATTAGGTACTCTGGAAAGTGGGCAATGTTACGGTCTGTTTCGATATTTTAAATTTAGCTTCAGCCTCTCGACACTGGAAAGCCAGTGAGAGATTCCCTTATTGCCGAACTGAGTTCTTTCCTACCTAAATGATTTAACCTTACTGTGAAATATTTTCCTTTAGCTTTGGTGACCTGTATATGCTGTCTGGAATCTCCCGCCCTTTTTTTTTTTTTCCAGTACCAGGAATCGAACTCATTACCTTGAGCTTGCTAGGCAGGCGCTGTGCCGCTGAGCTAAATCCCCAGCCCCTCTCCCGCCTTTCTGATCTCTTCTCAGGCTCTTCTTCTACCCTCTCAGTGTAAATGTCATTGCATTCAGAATCCTATTCTTTGGTTGCATTTTTGTACTGTGTTATCCTTGCACTATCACTTACTCTTACGGCTCTAGTTATTGCCTCAAAAGTCTGGTGCAATAAACTCCTGAACACCAGGTCTTTGTACTTTCAGCACCTTAAACTGTACTTGTCGGAAACTAAACAAGTATCTCCTTTCTTTTCTCCCTCTCCAATGCATGAATTTAGTCCCAGTCACCTTGGTGTTATATATTGGTAATTAGATCTCTTGAACCATGAAATGATTTCAACAATATTTTTTGATATTTTAGTGGGTGCACAGGTGGTTAGTCTTGAAGTAACCTTCACAAAATTAAGGAATATTTTATTCACAAAGCTGCTTGCTGGAGAGGTTAGTTTTTCCCTTCTCTTTCTTTTAACAGCTTTACTATTATGATAGTGCTGATGATATATAAGGAATGTGGCAAATTACTTCAGGAAACTTCAGCATGAAGTATTTAAAATTTTTCATGATGGACCATATCAAACTACGAAAGTAGAAAAGTGCAGCAAACCCCCACATATCATCAATAGTTCAAGCAATAACTCCCAGCCACTTTTTTTTTTGTGGTGTTAGGGATTGAACCTAGGGCTTAATACATGTTAGGCAAACAGTCTGTCATTGAGGCATACAGCCAGCCTCATCCTTGCCAATTTTATTTCATTCATACTTAAACTAGCCCCCGCCTTTTCTGGATTACTTTGAAGCAAATAACAGCTATCATTTCATTTTTAACAATGAATCTTTTAGAGATGGGCGTGGTGTCACACGCCTATAATCTCAGCCCTCAGGAGGCTGAGGCAGGAGGATCCTTGTGAGTTCTAGACCAGCCTGGAGTACAAAGTGAGCTCAAGGTCAGCCTGAACAGCACAGCAAGACCCTGTCTCAAAAAGACAAAAAAAAAAAAAAAAAAACTTTCAGCATGTATATCAAGTTTTTTTTAAAAAATCTTCATATAATTATTCCACAAAAACACTAACCATAATTTTTTAATAAGCTGACTGATGAGAGAATTGAAAGCATTTCTGTAATAGGCATTCTACTATCTTTTTTATTTATTTATTTTTAGAATTTGCTCTGTAGCTTTAAATGAAATGATTAAAGGAAAGCTAAACTTTAGCCATAATAAGTTGACCTTTTAGTAAAACGCATGTTATTAATGTATTTAATGAGATGCATTACAGACTGCAGTGAGCACCATGTTTCATTACAGTTCTAAAATACAGTATCATTAAAGACCTTTAATGGAAACAATGGTTGACATTTTGATACTTCCCATAAGCAAAACATCCAAGATCGTAGTGTAATGTAACATAAAGATAGAGGAAGTAAATTTTTTATTTGCCTGAGAGTTCAAAAACAAATTCTGCAAAGCTGGGCCTGATGGTGCACACCTGTAATCCCAGCACTCGGGAGGCTGAGGCAGGAGGATTGTTGCGAGTTTGAGACCAGCCTGGGCTACAAAGTGAGCCCTATACCAGCCTGAATTGCATAGGAAACCCTGTCTCAAAAAGTCCAAAAAAAACCCAAACAAATTCTACTATTAGTAATGTATATTTTCTTTGCTCCCCCTTATCTTCCTACATCTAATTTATATTCACTCTCTGTGGCTCTTCCTCAAGACCCCCAATTATTTTGACTTGGATAGACTACATTTTTTATTGGTAATTTGACCTAAGCACTGAGGGACACCTTATAGAATGTTTTATAGGTAGGCACCTGGACTTATGCCTGTAATCCTAGTACCCTAAAGGCCGAG